GGATCAACAGAAGTCAAATCAGGTGAACACGGAGGCAAATCAGCCGAAAGTAAGGGTAAAGAATCAGGCGAGAAGCCGCCAGGATCAGCTGAAGCCAAATCAGATGAGCATGGCGGCAAATCGGCTGAGAAGAAACTGAAAGAGTCCCAAGAGAAGAACCCAGCATCGGGAGAAGGCAAACCTGGTGAAGCAGAAGTGAAACCAGAGGTTATCGTAGGTTTGGGCGAACCAACGTTTTTTCAACCGAAAGAACCAGATAATGATAAAATAGAACCAAAGACCGGGAATGAAGTAGCGCCAGGAACTGAACGTACCGTTTTAATGGCACCAGTGGCAGCGAAATCGGAAGAGTCTGGTGAGAACAAGGAAGCAACCCCAGAAGAAGAATCAAGCGAGCAAGAAAGTGAATCAAGTGAAGAGCAACTGCCGAAGGTACCAGATATGAAGAAACCCAAGAAATCAGTTGGTGACAAGAAGCCATCTTCGAAAGTGAAATCAAATGGATCACCTGGTGATTCATCAAAGGAAGTGATAGATACCGCTGTTGTTGATTCTGGTGCGAAAGCGAGTCCTGCAACCGACGACTCGAAAGAATGGGAAGAGTATGGTCACAAATATAAGAAGGTCAGGCACTATTCATCATCAAAAACTAACATCACTCATAGAGCTAGTGGAAGTAGTAGTAGTGAAGAAGGTACACCGAAACAATTCGGTTGCAAGTTCCCTGCTTTCAATACACATTCAACGCGCTATCGTAAGTATTGTTTTTACTGAATTAACGATATAAGATTTATGTTTTTGCTAGAGTCAAGTTTAATGCGTCTGTTGATCGAAGTTCTGGCTCGTCTTCGTTGTAAGTACCTTTGTTTATGTGTTTAAATGATTAGCTTACTCATATCTCTGTAAATTCTTCTTCAGATCAACAAGGAGATATATCTACTGAATCCAACAGCTCAAGTGACTTTCCAGAAGACATATAATTTTATTACTTGTATGATAAACTTTACATCCTAAGAAAGAAATACTATTTCTCCTGATATACTGGTGTAATGCTTTTTTATCACCTAATAAATACATATATCGATGGTTGATGTGACTCTTGAATAACAAGTTGATAATCAATCTGCGGAATATTTGTTTGAACAAATATTTTTAGAAGTCATGAGGTTCAAAATGGAGAAAATAGAATTGATTTAATGTAAATTTGTTTCGGTGCCGTTCGCTTCTCGCTCCCTAAGTCTGGTTGTTTGAGCTACTAGTTTCTTTGGACGAGATTGATCGTTGAACGATTCGAGATGGCAAAAGAAAAAAATAGTATTTTGATGAATTATTTGAAATAAAGTCAATCAGAAAGATGAGGAACGGGTTCAGCTGTTTGGTTTGATTTATCACTAAGGCCGACGAGCAAAAGATAATCAGAGAAGATCCTAAACACAAAACAGATTGATTGTAATTACTAGACACGTATCAATTTTCATCGATCAATCAACAAGAAGAAATCGGTGAAATATTAATTTGACTATTACGAACGGTTGATCGGTCAAAAATTATTTCCATACGATATATTCGGTTGTCTTGTGGAATATTATAAATAAGTTTTTCTTAATCAATACGAACAGCTATACATAGTGGCGCTTAAAATTGATCGCACATCTGAAAAATGACGTTGTTTCTTGAATATATTAAAATGAGTTTATGATATAGAGTTTCGATTTTTGCGAAAATATAGTTCGGTGGTGATAGCATATATGCTGAAAATTTCATCTTTCTGAGTCGTATAATTGTTGTGCTAGATCCACAATAGTAAACCTAATTTTCTTTGATTTGACTCTAAATTGATCTTACACCTCGCATAAAAATAGATAGATATTGATCAACTAAAATTGTCGCATATCATCCTTCTCAGTGAGAAGACTCGTTTTTAAAAAGTTTTTACTGAAAACTCAGTTGAAACCTTGTTGAAATATTTTAGAAATGCTCCTCTACATTCAGAAGGACAAAATGCGACAGTTTTAATTGATCAATATCTATCTATTTTTGTGCGAGGTGTAAAATCAATTTAGAGTCAAATCAAAGAAAATTAGTTT